GAAACTAATAAAAAGAAAAAGATCAAAAGAAAAAGAAAGTAAAATTCTAAAGAAAGCAATACCTAAATGGGTTGCCTCCCATTAAGCGCTTCTGTTTTAAGTCGTTTAGCTCGACTTTGGGTGTTGGACGTGACTTATTCCAATGAAGAAGACCTTGTCCTGAGACAAGTCTTTTTCGACATCTCCTTGCTTTGCTTAGCAGGTTCTTCGTCACTCCAAAGTTCTTCTTCAAACTCTTCTGCTGCAGAACGTTTTTCTGCTTTGCTGTTGTATGGGACAGCTTCTGTGAAGACATCTTTGTCGATATTAGCAAATGAAATCCTCCGGTTTGGCCAGTCCATTATAGCTCCGGAAGTTGCTAGAAAAGACCATCCGAGAATCACTGGATATGTTGCATATTTCGTTTCGATAATGTAGAAGTCGACAGGCACTATGCAATCTCCTATTCTCAAAGGAATTTCATGAGCTATTCCTTGAGGTGTTGCATTTGAATCATCAGCTAGGCAAATCTTTGCTCTAGTCCTGCGTAGGTGTTTAATACCAAGTCTCAAAGCAATTGCCTTGGACATCATGTTAAGACAAGCTCCAGAATCACAAAGCACGTTTTTAAACATTTCTCCTCTAATAGAACAAGAGATAAGAAACTGACCTACACCATCGATTTTGTGAAGTGTTCAAACAGGTTTACCTTTTCTGACATGATTGAACAAGTCTTCTATCTCAGGGATTGATTCTTTGCTCTCACAGAAGTAGTGGTCTATTATAAAGTCCTTGCAAGCTCTGGCAAACGTGATTCCTTCAGGCAAATTTCGAACCACATCATTGAATTCATCGAGGTTTTCTTTGCTGATTTTGTTGGTGTAGTGGCTGCCCTCTTCCGAATTTTTGAGGTGAATCGCATAGACAGCTGCTTCTGGTGTTGTCATGTATCGAGCTCTCATAAAGTATCAATGGATATCCTCTTTAGACTCCTTGCAGTACCTGAAAAAGACTTGCAAACGACCAAGTTTCCAGATTTCATCAAAGCTTAAATGAGCAGGGAATGACCTGACTACGTTGTTGAACTCCATTAGCTTCTCTCTACTGATGTTGTTGGTGATCCATTGAATTTCTCCTGAGTCGTCTTCTGAGGAATATCCTGCGTTTGGATCTTCTACAAACAACCCATACTCTTCATCTTCAGAGTATTGCTCTTCATACTCATCTTCACAAGACAAAGCCATGTTTCAAGGCCATGACTTGTCCTCTTCTTCAGATCTTTGGATGCTTATGGAGCAAACCAGTTGTTGATGGAGTGGTTTAGTCATCCCAGGAGGTGTACCAGACGTACAGACGCTTGTATGAGCTGAACGGGGCTGTTTTGGAACGTTTTTACGGTTGGCCTTGACTGCAGGTGACGCGACCGCGGGGAAACGACCATGGGCCGCGGGTAGACCCATCACGACCACGGGAGAACGCTTGTTGGCCGCGGTCGGAGCCAACGCGACCACGGGAGTTTGCCTCCGAGCTGCTCTGCTGCTGTTGCTTCCTGAATGGTCTCCTGGGTCTTCTGGCTCGATGTACTTCCTCTCTGGACTTGAGTCTTTAGTTTTGGTTGCTGGAATCTGCTCTCCAAGTCCTTGCATGATCTCCTTAACCTTTTCTTCAACTTCATCAAGAGCATAGACTACTTTGTCCATGGTTGAGTCAAGCTCTTCGGTTTTGTCGATGACTTTGTAAACCTTCTCTGAAACTTCGACTGTAAAGTCATAAGACTCGTTCTTAGCTTCGTTTAGGGCTTTTTCCACATCATCGAGTTTGAAATCCAGGGCCATGACTTTGTTTTTGGTGTTGCGAAGCTCAAAGTTGTGCTTTGCTTGCTCTTCCTCCATGCTGTTGAACCTGTTAGCAATCATAGCTGCATCCTTGGTTGCACGTTCTTCTATTGAATTGACTTGTGAGGCTAGGTTATCGATTTTTTCATTGAAAAGTTTTGATATCCCATCAATCCTTTCGTTTAGAGCAGTTGTTGCGGTTGCTTGAGCTTCTATGAACTGTCTGATCACGCCTTCGAGCTGACTCAGTCTGTTGCTGAGCTGGACGTTCTCATCTTGCTGGAGAACCTGGTGAGGTAGGCGATACATAGAGTATCTAGGGTTTGCCATTTGAGGTGCGTAGGGCTCCTTCTGGAACGTTATGTAGTCTTCGGGTTGAATTTCTTCGTAGAGATCGCGTAGATGCTTCTCTCTGCGTCTGGTGGCTTGAGGAGTGTTATAGAAACCTTCCTCATAGTGTATATTTCGATTTATAGGATCCATATCTTCTGAAATGGAAAAAAAATAACCAAAAAATGGAAAGTTACAGAAAAGGGGGTTCTAGAGTCGATTTACTAACCTTTCTCGGGGTTTTGCAGAAAAGAAAACGCGTGCCTTCCCCGGCAACGGCGCCAAAAACTTGATGTGGACTTGGTGTGTCGAGTGTTGTCAAGTTTTACCCTAAATGAAATCAATAGCCGCAAGTGCACAACTGATCAATTGTAGTACTTAGGGATCGAATCCACAGGAAAAGAGGATCTTTTCCTGCAAAAAGCCTTTGAAATAAGTATTAAGTAAGGAAGTCTAGAACCAAAACGGTTTTGTGGGGGTTTGGTAGTGTGTTTAAAATGTAAAAACGAAATCTTAAAAGAAAATACGGGAATTAAATGGCGTAATAACTAAACTTAATGAAAATGACTAAAAATGAGAAAAACGGATATCTAATTGCTTAAATGAAAATGAACTAAAAAGGAAAGACAATATTGAACTAAAGCTTGAAAGAAAAAACGGTGTAAATCAATGAGAAAGAAGGCGTTGGGGTTCAGGGAAGTTTTCTCAGGGGTACGAACGATTCAAAACATTGCTAGAGAGTAAATTGATAAAATCTTAGCTTAAACTTTTCGAACTGGAGTCACGGACATATGAATACGCCACTGTCGTGATCATAGACAACTATCTCTCTCAACCCTGACCAGTAGGTTTCCACTCTGGCCCTGGAAGAGAAGAGATGCATTATGTTTAAGACTCGTCCTAATTCACAAATCGCCCATAGGTAGGTTTCCACTCCTATGTTTGTTTTGCTCTCCCAAACTAGATCTGATACCTGATGAACACTTTCGTGTCACCAAGCATCTGGATCAGATTGTAGTTCATGACGCTACTCTCATGCAGTAAAAACGAATTCAGAAGTAAAAGTTCTAAGATACAGCTCAAAAGCTCATGGAATCCTCATCGAACATATAAATCCCCATCGAAAATCCCTTAATCCCAACAATAAAACTACTCAGACATGATGAACGAAATCAAAGACATAGTATTAAGAAGTAGAATAGAAACCGAAATTGAAAAAGAAAGAACAAGGGTTCAAGAGAACAAATCTCTCTCTCCCTAAAAGCTAAAGCAAAAACAATAAAAATATGAAGTAAAATATTTCGGTTCTCTATGATGGTTCATCGATTAGGGCTCCTAAAACATGTATTTATAGTGCTCTGGACGTCACTTAGGGTTTCTCCAAATGAGGGAATCATTGTGGGTTTCAGAAATGGGCTTTTGGGCTCGGAGTTGGCTTGCCGCGGTCGGGAGTGCTGTGACCGCGGAGAATGAGTGGTTTGCCGCGGTCGGGATGCTTCTGACCGCGGGAAATGGCCTGTTGGCCGCTGGTGGAAATGCTCGCCGGCTGGTTTACGGGACATCTTGCTCTTCGCGTATCTTTAGATTCAACCGTTGGATTGCCAAGCTGTAAAGTGTGCTGGAAAGCTGATACTTCCATCTTTAAGGTCTCCAAATTTGAGCTGGATCAGACGGTGAGAAGGCCTTCAATCAGGGGTGAACTTCTGACGGTTTGACTCTGAGCTAAAATCTGGTTTTCTATCCATTTTGTTAAGCTTTTCCCTAAGTTACCTGAAAAGAGTCTTGGAACTACAAATAATAGAAAAACGTGATAAAAGTACTTAAAAGCAATTAAAAACATAGAAAAAGTATTTCAAAATGATCCATAAAAGTGGTCAAAATACGGTGTTATCATGTAGGAATCCTACATCGCAATTCCTTCGAGGCGTTTCTCTAATCTTGTATGAATCCAGCATCCAAGCAGGGTTTGATTTAATAAAGGTGTCATCAAATGGAGGATGCCTCATGGCTACTTACTCCATGGTTATGTTCTCTTTAACCATGGATGGCAGCCATGATGTATTTAACCACATTCATGGTCTACTTCCGGGAGAGGCAACAGAGATGAGGAAGACTATGCAGCATATCAACAGGTCTCCGTATACTTATAAGAAGCCTCACGAGTTTCACGAACCAGTCTTCCAGGGTTTTTCTAAGGCACAATCAAGGAGTTGTGCTTGTATGAATCTGCCAAACCAGTGCTGGATGAATGATGAGAGCCTTGTCGACTCATATGGTGACAAACTATGCAGTCCTTACTTCTGGAAGTTGGAATGTGCCATATTCTGGAAAACAATTACTGGATTTGCAAATGAATGGCCGCGTTGAAATTAGTTGACTCCTTTTTTTATGTTTTTGTGTTTACTTCTATGTTTAATTGATATTAGTAGACTTATGTAGTAGACTTCGTTTGTAGACATATTTATTGTAAGCAATATATTTATGAGTTCTACTAAACTTTTTCTGTAGACACTATCAGTAGTCCATATTCAATAATATTTTACAGGATTCAGTGTTACGTAGAGAATCAAAAGTTATAAATACAAACATGTTAATTACTTAGTAGGCTTCAGTACAATTACAATTACAACTTAGTAGACTTCAGTCATAGACTTCAGTCGTAGAATTCAGTACAATTACAATATCCTAAATGAAATTACAACATATTTGGCATTTTAATTATATGATAGGTGGCCAAAAAACTTCCACACCTATCATCTACCAATTGCTAAAATGACCTGCAATCACATTGAAGGTCATTTATGCAAGTAGCCCAAAACTTTCCATAAAAAAAAGTTAGTTTTAAATACGGATACCCTAAACTTTGCTATCATAGAGATCCAGCCCGGTTGCATCTAACTTATCATGGCCCTTAGCACCTATTTCGTCAAAGATCTCTGCAGCCATTTTCTTCCTGATTAGTCGCATGTTTTTATCACAAAGTTGCGGAGGAAATGGCAAATCCAAAGCATGACACTCAATGTACTTCAGGCAGTAGACTCCACAATCACCACTCTGATGGTTTTGAGGTATCTCCGTACCTGGTACTCGCGAATGTGTGAAAGGCGTGTAGGGGAATCTCCACTTGTCTTCATTAGGTGCACAGATCTGAAGAAGGTAGGGTATCATAACAGTCAGAGGCTCCACACTTCATCAATTTGGTCGTCAGATGCATATTTGGTTCCCGCATGACTATCCCATATCGTGATATGCTTTGTCAGAAATGAAACCCAGATAGCTACCCAATGGTCCCCCCTGATGTGCAACATTGAGTACAAATAGTTGACTTCATAGGCCCACATCTTTTTAGTCTGGGAGTAGATAGGTAATTCGCCTGTGAAGTACGATACGCTAGGTGGTAGAAGTTTTCCAGAACCATCTTCATTCGGGGCAGATTTTTTGAAGTCATTGTAGTCACGCCTCCAAACCGTAGCAAACATGGATTTGAGGAAGCAAATCCGATCGGATACAAACCACTCCGGATGCTTGGATAATCGCAGCCTGAGTAAGTTAATATAAGCTTCCATGTGCTGCACATTGATGAAAATAAGACATGAGCGAAGTCTGCAAACGAAGTCTACTACATAAGTCTACATATTAGTTCTACGTATGAAGTCTATCTATGAAGTCTACTATTAAAGATTAAAACACAAACCGCATCAGCTAGCCATTTCTTCGGTGTCCGTAGAGTGTAATACCATTCGATCGAAGAGTTTCTTGGACGTCTTGGATAAGCACTATATAAGTGAACAAGTCAGACAGGAAAATAAGAATATGATGAAGTATACTTACATAAGTATAGAAGTCTACTTACGGGTTTGATTTCAAAAAGTTCATTAGAGTAGTATGCTTCTCCTTAACACCGGTTTGATCGAAAGGATCATATCCACGGACACGGCCGGAACGAGAGGCCGACGTTGGAATGATAGCCTTTGCGGTGCTATTTCCTAAGAAAAGACTCTTCTGTGTCGCAGCTAGCTGTCGGTTTTTGGCACTCGTTGCTCGGGCAACTATCTGAGCCGCTGCTCTGGCTTTGGTATTTTTGGCAAGTGCAACTGCGTCGAAGTCAGCATCACACGTCTTCGGGTCAACTTCATAAAAGCTTGCCTTGGGGTCCTCTTCTTCCTTCAAGGCAACCTTCTTTCCTTTTGCATCCCCGGGTGCATTAACACTCTCACTCGCACCAACGTTCACATTAATCTTTCATCGGAGCATCTTCTTTCTCTGAATTACTCTGCAGTTTATTGTCACAAACAGGCATGAATATACAAATAACAACACCATTGCTATAATTTAGTAACATGTTTCATCATAGTCTGGAAAATGGAAACACAATTTTTTAAAACATAAGTAAATAATCTCACACGGTACATAGCATTATTAAACATATTTGAATTCAAATGACATTAGTATTAAGTGTTCCTATCTTTGCGTGATCTTGTTCGCATGAAATGTTTTCGTATAGGCGGAGGGTTTTTGGTACTAACCCCTTCATGCTTCTTGGATCCAGTGACCTGCTGCTGGGTCGGCTCTACATTGTCTTTAACCTCTTCCTCAGTTTGCTTCGCCGACCCAGTAGTCAACTCCTCTACCGCGCCTTCTACAGATTCAACCTTGTCGGTGAGAAGTTTGATCTGCTTTTCACAGCTACCAAGACCAGCATCTTGGTTGAAAAGCTTTTGAAGCATTGGTCGAAGTGCGCTTTCATAGTAGCGACAACTCCGACCCCTTCATCACCGAAGAAAGAGGCGGCAGAGGCAGAGGCTGTGCAGGTTCTCTTGCGACTTGTCATCTGAGGGAAGGCTCTTTTTTCCTGCTTCTGCCTTGACGATGTGTGCACCCAGAACACCTTCCAAAGGCCAGCGGTTTTTTGAGAACTTGAATTGGGGGTCATGGATTGCATCGACAATCTTGACAATATCCGGATCCTGTTGCTCATCATCCCAAACTGGAAACATATCCGCCGAGTCCTTAGCCACGCAGCACTGTATGCGAGCCTGGAAAAACACAATTCGTAAATGAATTACTATATAGAAGTCTACCACTGAAGTCTACCACTGAAGTCTACCACTGAAGTCTACCACTGAAGTCTTCTTTTAACAGGATTATTATATAGAAGTCTACACATGAAGTCTACCCCTGAAGTCTACTTCGTAAATTAATTACTATATAGAAGTCTACTACGGAACAAGACTGCTAAATGAGAATGAATAATACCTGTTTTAGCATGTTGGCTTTGAAGTTCTTTCGTCCTCTTGATCCTTTGTAAGCTAGCAGAAGAGGTGTAGGGTCATATGGCAATGATTAGCCAAATTCAGCAGCAAAATCCGGCAGAGCATAATACACCCACACTTGAAGAGCTTGCACAAATCCTTCTATATTAATGTTTTTGCTGAGATCTTTCTCCTTAACAGACTTGATCAGATGCTGAAAAGAAATTCTTCCCCATGGGAACTCCTTAAAACCTTCGAGATCTAACACTAGTCTGTCATGGTTGACATTTGTGAATAAGCCTGGTCTCGTTGCCACTATGAAACCAGCATAGATCCCAAGATATCCCAAACACAGCCTATCATCCCGAGACCATGATGAGCAGTTGGAGCAGGCTTCAATAATTTTGATAGTGCTTGGGCCCGACTCGACATCGACCCCAATTTGCTCCCAAAATGCCCGCATCTCATTAGAAAGCTCAAGATCAGCTAGAGCCAAGTCATCCACGTACCCGCAGTTGAGTCCGGTGATCTCCTTAAACTCATGCAATGAAAACCGAACTGGAGTAGTACCAATCAGGCTCCATATCTCGTACCTCTGCTTGCAAACTATCTGAAAGGTCAGCATGTGGTGCACCAGCCTAGAAGCCCAACCAAAATCCAAGCAAGTCGTGGAACTTTAAGAAGACACCCAACGGTGACTCGTAAATCTCTTCCCATTCGTCCTCTTGTAGAGCTGACCGTAGTGCAGGTACCAGCCTATAATCATCAGCATAATAGCCGATGCTTTTATCCAGAGCTGGCTCACCGCCTTTGGTGTACAATCTTCTAGGGAATTCAGAGGCCACCATTATCTAACACAGATTTCTGCATCAACGGTAACAAAGCTCTAATGAGAAAACTAGTTATAACTAACGGTTTGAAAGTATACAAGAATGAAGTGTACTTTACAAAATGAAGTCTACTTTTTGCAACATGAAGTATACTTTTACAAATGAAGTCTACTTTTACAAAATGAAGTCTACTTTTACAAAATGAAGTCTACTTTTGCAACATGAAGTCTACTTTTACAACATGAAGTCCACTTTTGCAACATGAAGTCTATTTTTACAGAATGAAGTCTACGTTTGCAAAATGAAGTCTACTTTTTGCAAAATGAAGTCTACTTTTGCAAAAGGAAGTCTACTTTCACATTCTAAGTACAATCCGACTCGAGAAGTCTACTGAAACCAACCGAAGCAATCAAAACATCAAAAATACAGTATATGAAGTCTACGGAAGCCACATGAAGCAATCAAAACATCATAAATACTGCATATGAAGTCTACTGAAGCCAACCGAAGCAATCAATACATGATAAATATTGTATATGAAGTCTACTAAAACCAATCATCCAAATGGAATCTACAAAGTTAATAGTGTTTACAGCCGTGATTAGATAAAGCCGGCGTCGAGAAAATGCAACCAGATCTGTAAAAAAACACCTATGTTCTCAAACCCGACAGACAAAATTACAGGAAGATAGAAGAAATAGAGGAATAGCTAAGTATATATCTTTGGAAGGACAACTACTAACTGTTTCGAAGCAGGAAATGACGTTAACCCCCAGCGGCGAAAGCAGATCTGTAAAAAAAAAAAAAACCCTAATTTCAGATCTGGACACTGGTGCTTACGAAAACGGAAAGGTGATGAACACGGAGGAGTAGGGAAGCATGGGGGTGATGGTGGAGGAAGAAAACTTGCCTGAACGGGTTTATCGGCGGCGGTTGTGTAAGTCGGCGGCGCCGGAGAAGAGAAACAGAAACCGCCTTCGTCGTTTTTTTTTAAACAGGAACTTTCGACGGATTTTTTTTTACGGGATCTGTAAAATTCCTTTATATAGTCTAGTCTGGTAATTCCGTTTGGTTCAGGTAAGTCTTTTTCGGTTAGGGTTAATAATTTTACAGGGACTAGGTAAATTTACCCGGTTACATGCAGTTTTTCTTGGTTAGGAGAAGTTATTTCCGGTTTAATTAGGTTAATTTATTCGGTTTAGCAGACTTCAATATAGAAGTCTACAAATTTTAAAACCTAAATAATAGATTTTATTCTTCTTAATTTAAAAACATAAATTTCCATTTATCAATATGAAAAAATAATTTATGTATATTTGGGTTACAATTACAGAATTTATGAATGTAATTTTGATACCAAAATAATTTTTTTAAAATTTTAAAATTAAATTTCCAGATTTAATTACTTAGTAGACTTCGTCAGGGTGTAAACGGTAATTAGGACATCCATTTTTTGTTTAGTCATACATGATTAAATGGTCTTTTCACTACTCCTTTTGTTTATTTCTGCCAAATGATTTTTCAGAGGTCTACTTTTGTATTCAAAGTCAAGTTTTAGGTTATTTTTAGCAAAAACCCCAAAAAACAAAATATATGTAAGTGTAAACCTTAATTAGTAAAACTAAAATTATCGAGAAAAACTAAAAAACTTGGCATGTTAGTTTTCAAAACAAACGATTGAGCAAATGGACTGTATTAAGAAGTAATATGATAAACATTTGTCCACAGTCTGATACCTATATATAGTTAGTATTATCTAGTGTTTTGAAACTACAATACCAACTAGTTAAGAAATATTTGTTTACTGTATACGAATATATCCTAATAAAAAAACTATAAAAATAAGTGGGAGAAGTTGGAAACAAATATATGACACCATTAACTTCGGTAGTTATAAATATGAAGAACCAAATCTAATTAATATTGTTCATTTAACAAAATCGTTGTTTCAATTTAAAATAGGAAATATAAACAGCTACCAAATATATAGGTACATTGTTTTACTTAAGTAGTGATATCAATATAGTTTTTGATATCGAAAAACGAAACATTATCAAACATAAATATAAGAGAATATGCTTTGTCAGTTAGAAATGTGATGAACAATTAAACTACTTAATAGGGATAATTATACTGTATGATAAATGAGACTTATTTATTTCAAGGTGATTTAAATTAAACGTTTGAATGTTTTTTAATATTTTAATTTTATTGGGTATATTGTTAAGTTTATTGGGTCGAATTTTACAATATTGATAATTGACAGTGTGTGTGGGTACAATTTTAATTTTGGGCCAAATGATATGTTATTAGTTTAAGAATTGGATTGTGTCTTAAAATTGGCTCATATTTGCAGTTATAAATTCTACGTAGAAAGTGTAGATGAAGAATACATATAATTATGAATACATACATTAATTTTATATTTTAAGTTATTCATCGAAATGTGATATTTATGAACATATTTTTATAGATTATATGATAAGATTTATTCATTTATTTCAAAATGTATCTTCTTTCGGAATTTGTGATAAATCAATCAAATGTTATTTAATATGTTTTAATTATAAACGACTTTTGGAGAATATGAAACACATGGAAGAAAAATGAGGAGTCACTCTCTAAGAATTCTATAAATATATACCTGAAGAGAATTTTGATCAACTAACCAAGCAAACAATTACTCACTCAAACACAACCCATACTACAATTATTCTTCTGATGTGATCCTCTCATAGACGTACAAAAAATATGTTTACATGAAAAAAATACATTTTTTCCTGCATAATATTTCTTGTGCATTTGTGAAGAATCACATCAGAAGAAGTAGTTTTATTCATTGTGTCGCCACAGAGTTATTGTAATTATATTACTTGTGAATGCTCACTTTCGACAGGAAGTATACTGTTAGTACTTTATACCAAATTCTGGATAAAGTATTAACGGTGTACTTCTTGTAGAGTGAGATACAAGTAATTTTGCTCAGTAGGTAAACAGAAATGTATATCGTTTTCTATAAGTTTTTGATATTGTAGTTTTTTATTATTCACTTGAATTTTTAGAAAAAACTCTAATTATGTAGAAAATTGTTATTTACCTCGAATGAGATCCAATATTGTGTAAGAAATACAAACTTTTTAATTGAGATTTTTTAATTTGAACTATAACGATTTTCCTAATTTCTAGGATTGTTAGAATTATTATTTCTCATTTGCAATTATCTAAACTAACAAAATATCGCATTTTTCTATATTATGTATTTCAGTTAAAATTGAAATTTAAAAAGTTGTTTAATTTTATTAGAGATTTCCAAAATTTGAGATTATGTTACCATATATTGCGGTTTAAATCAAATTGTAAAGAAGAAAATTCAAAATTTTCAATATTTTTGTAAGAGTTAATTTGTGTGAATTGGACGAAGAAGACTTGTGTAAATATTATGTCCATATATCAAAAGCAAAAGTTAGACAGTCAAACTGGTTGGTTGAAACAGTATTCCCAATATAACATAGAAATTTGGTGACATTGAATATTTTATAACTATCCTATCCTATATAAAATAAGAGTTGTTTCGATTATAAGCATACTTCTTAAATTTTCTCTTCCACCTTCAACGCCTGATAAGAGATTAGACAAAAATGGAGA